AGAGAGAGAGAGAGAGAGAGAGAGAGAGAGAGAGAGAGAGAGAGAGAGAGAGAGAGAGAGAGAAAGAGAGAGAGAGAGAGAGAGAGAGAGAGAGAGAGAGAGACAGAGAGACAGAGATACAGAAAGACGGAGGAGACAGACAGAAGAGATGGGATGTGGGCCGGACGGCCCCACGAAGGGAGAAGGCGGGGGAATCATTTTTGGCAGGTTCGTGCATGGCAGCCGGCTTGCAACCAAAGCTTCCAGGGGCCGGACGGCCCTAAGAAGGAAGAAGGGGGGGAATCATGCTTCAAATCTCGTGCATGGCAGCCGTCTTCAAGCCAAGCTGCCAGGAACTTTGGGCTAGGTCAAGATGCAGGGCGATGATGAAATTGTCGTCCAGGCCTATGCCAAGCTGCTTCACGACAAGGTTCCAGGCAAAGTCGCGAGGTCCTTGGTCGTGATGTGGCGGAGAGGTTACCTAGACCAGCTGGAGATTCTTGGCATGAACACATATACATATACATATATATCTACATATATATACTTATACATATGCCGTATATAGACTATTTATTTAATTTTTTACTTATATAGAGCTAAGGGATGTCGACAAGGAAGTGGGCTTCCTGAACTTTTTGGAGTACCTCATGTACAAGATCGAGAATGATATGGACATCGACCCCGAGCGCTGGCCGGAGGCGACGAAGCACATGAAGATGAAGGAGCACGGGTACATCCGCTTGTTGCTCAACGATGCTTCATTGATCGCTCTCCAAGCAAACCCAGGCCCCTTGAGCCGAATGACGAAGCCTCAACTACTTTCGGAAGCAGTGCGGGTGGGGCTTAAGGTACACCAGTCCTGGAGCGACCAGGAGTTGCGGGCGAGGATCATGGAGCACGTGGACGCTACATTTTTTTGAAATTGAGCCGCCCGTGCGCCAGGTCCGAGGATCTGACCAGTGCCAGGCGGCTGGGAGGTGAGCTCCAGGACAAGCCTCAAGTTTCCAAGATTCAAGGGGTCGTTTGTTAGAAGCGGCTTAATTCAAGTGCTAATCCAGGGCAGGCTACTGCCAGGGTATAATTCAAGCCGAGATCGATCAAGCCCTGCTTGACATGCAAAATTGTCTTGGCGAGAAGAGGACCTGAGCTGAAGTTTTTTTTCATAGTACGCTGCATGCTTCAGGCAGGCCTAGCCAGGTCCTGGGCTTCAAGCTCCAGGCAGGTCTGTCGGGTTTAAGTGCTGCAGGCCGCCAGGCAAGTCCTCAGGTTCTTAGAGCCATGGGCAGCCCCGCAGCTGCTGGCCGCGGCGGCGAACGCAACTTCGCCAAGCCGGAGGTGGACCAGGAGCACTTGCTGGACGTGTTCAAGAAACACGTCAAGCTCCTAGGTGTCCAGGCCGCCTTCAACTTCGACCCCTACGGCAACCTAGCCAAGACGAGTGCTGTCCAGGCCAAAGGGCTTTCAAAGGCGACGGTTTTGCTCAAGAAACTCCAGGAGGTGGAGAGCGGCTTGGCTTTCAAGTACAAGGACTTGAAGGAGTGCTTGGCCAAGGTCAGCAAAGACTACCCGGACCTCATCCACCAGGCCCCGCTGAGCAAGCAAACTGCTTGGGCTGGGGACACGGCCGAGATGCTGCTGACCGTCATGGCTCATGCTCGCCGCTTGTGCAACGACACCAGGTTCAAGGAGGCTTGCAGCAAGGCGACCCAGTTCGAGATCAAGGATCTCGAGGAACTCAGGGCGCTGCTTCTTCCAGAAGTGTCGGCCTCACCAGCCAAGCTCCAGCAGGCGGAGACCCACAACACCAAGCGGCCGAGCACAGGGACGCCAAGCCCTGCGACCAAGCCGCCAAAGCTACGGTCGTTAGCCCCTGCGAGCAGTCCGCTTCGAAAGATTCGGACCAGGGATCTGGAGCTTCCAGACACTCCCAAGACCGCCAAGACGAGTTTGAGCCAGGAAGCCGAAGGCAGTCCCGTGCCAGGCAGCAAGGCTCGAATCAGGAAGTCTTGGGAGGGCGAGGTTTTGAAGAAACCAGCTGCAGCCGCTAAGCCTGTGAAAAAGGACAGTGACAAGCCGAAGAAGAAGCCGGCCTCTAATCTTAACATTAGAAAAAAATTTTTGTTGTTCGTAAGCATATATTTCTATCTAGGAAGATGTATTTAAGTGAAGCCCTGAATGTTTAATCTCCATCATCAGGCCCCCAAGGACAAGGACAAGCCCGAGTTGACGGAGGCTGAAAGGGGCAAGCTGCAGATCATGCACTACCACGACAGTGTCGCATTGAGAGTCGACGGTTCTAGGCAGCTTTTCCAGATCGTGTGCAGGAAGCATGGTCGGGATAAGACCAAGCTTCAGGTTGCCAAGATGAAGAAGAAGCTCGCCGAGGGCGGCTCTTTGGCAGAGGCCTTCAAGGAGAAGGCTAAGTTTTTGGAGTCCTAGTTTCAAGTCTTTTAGTGTTCCAAGCCAGGGCTGGAAGCCCGGTGGCCTCGACTGCATAAGCCAGTATGCATGAGTGAAAAACACATCGACCCTCCAGCTGCATGAGCCTGCAAGTAAAGTTTCAAGGGCTGGACAGCCCTTTTCGGCGGCAAATGCTCCCAAGCGAGATCGATCTTCGGCCGCTGCAGCTCCCAAGCTCAAGAAGCAGCTTTAGGAGTTACTTAGTCAGGCAGCCAAGGAGCTGCCAAGTCAAGCCGGTCCAAGCCATGGCCGGCCAGCAGCCTCGAGGGCGCCCAGGAGGAGCCATTCCCGCGATGGGAAAGGGCCCCCAGCGAAACAGTCAGCCAGGCGGCACCGGACACCTGCACGCACGTAACAAAGTTTTGCGTTTTTTTTTAAGGATTTAACGAAACCGCTGATGTCTATATTTGAAAGCACTCAGACTCAAGCGCCTGGCGAGAGAACTGGAGGGCGCTTTACAGCCAGTACAAGGACGAGGCCGGCCTTGGAGTAACAAGCAAAAGTTTATACATACATTATATATATATATATATATATATCAAAAAATATACATAAAAATATGTACATATATATATATATATATTTGTTTTTTATATGTTTGTGTCCCTTGTTGCGGTCCCTATCTAAGCCCCCATCCCCTAAAACTATATACTTAATGAAAACCCCTGCGGCCAGGGCGAGACCTTCGGCCACTGGCAAAACGATGTGGTGCAACACCTTAGCCTCACGTTCGACACCCAGATGCCCCAGGACCAGTCGATCAGGTTGTTCATTAACCGGGTATTTGAGCAATCAGGAACAATCGAGTCGATCGACGAATGGCTGGAGGTACAGTTGGATGAAATGAGCATAAAAAGGAGCAGCCAGGAGCCCCAGGATCCCCGCTCATCCAGGAGCCAGCAATCCCAGGAGCTCCACATTAATTGGACCTCCAGGAGGGATGGGCAGGATGAGCAGGGTCAGCGGCCCTGGAGGCAGCCACAGCCACTGCCTGCACCTCCTAAGGGCCTCCAGCTCCAGGGCAAGACGTCGCCACCTCCCAAGCAGCCGCCGGCGAAAGCACCTGCCCAGGAGCAGCTTGACTGAATTTACTTGACCTTTTAATCTTCAAAACCTTTAGCTGTCTTCAAGCCGTCAAGGGCTGGAAGCCCTATTGAAGCCGTCAAGGGCTGGAAGCCCTATTGAAGCCGTCAAGGGCTGGAAGCCCTATTGAAGCCGTCAAGGGCTGGAAGCCCTATTGAAGCCGTCAAGAGCTGGAAGCCCTATTGAAGCTGTCAGGGGCTGGAAGCCCTATTGAAGCTGTCAGGGGCTGGAAGCCCTTTTAGCTGGAAGCACCCCCAAGTAGCAGTGGAAACACCCAAAATTAGCCCTTAAGTTTGAGTCATGATCTCAGGCCCGCTCCGCCCGCTACCCCGGCGACCTCAGTCCCAGCCACCACAGCAGAAGGCGACCTTCCAGGCTTGAATTATCCAAAGTCATGTATAAGCCACATGTAAAACGATTTTTGAAAACCCGTAAGCTTTCTTTGAAATCTCGGCAGCAGGAGGTCAAGCTGAGACGGAGGATCCCGCTGCCCTCGAGTTCTTGGAAGCCGAACTTGCCAAGCTCCAGGAGACCAGGCTCGAGGTGGCCCACGAGATCTACAGGCGCAACCGCGAGGTCGGATCTTTAAAACATAATTATCATCTACTCTTTAAGCAAAGATTTTATTGTAAAAAACCTATTATACTGTTTCCTTCTATTCTGAATTCTAGGAATATACGATTTCCAAGGCCCAGCTCCAGGACGAGCAGGAAAACGAAAGGCAGGCCACAGAGACGGAATTCCAAGAATTCCAAGAGTCAATGGAAGAAGTCAAGGCGAACTCTGATGCCGAATGGGAGGAAAAAATGATAAAGGAGGTGGAGGAGAGGAGGGCCAAGAGGTCGAAGACGAGGAGTGACGACCTAAGCAGAACGCTGGTCGTCAAGCGCCAAGACCTCGACAGAGAGCTCTCCAAGCTCCAGGAAGCACACATCTCCAGGTACGACCGGGACGTGAGGGACCAGTTGTCCAGGTTGAAGTTGGAAGTCTTCAAGCCCAAGGACCAGGACTTCACGACCAGGCTGGAGATGGAGACCGAGAAGATCCTCAAGCTTCGTCCACGCACTGAAGACATGCTGCA